CTTTGAGCGACCGGAAATGACGGTCTCTAGTTGTGCTCAGTGCACCCATCCATCTTGCTGTCTTTGAGGGTCACTCTTAAAATCCAGTGCGCTCAGAATCAGGGGTACCCTGAGTTCTCATAATTCTTGCTGCCTGGTCATCCCAAAGCACTGTCAAAACGCGGACTTAACCCTGAGCCTAAACCCCTAAACTGCCGTTTTCAGGCGGCGCACTACTTGTGGCCGCCTGACAACGGGACACACTGTACTCTTCTTCTTCTCGCGCCGAGCCGACCTCCTCCGCCAAAAGTCGCAAGATGAAGAGCACTAGTGATTACTCCTAGAGTAATGCCCAAATAAGCAATACCCTCCTTCATCCGGCATGCTATCCTGTAGCATCACTCGTTTGAAGCACAAAGTAGAGAGATGGCAGTAGACCTGCTTTCAAAAGTCAGGAAACAGCAGGTGTTGAGGTTGTTAGATGCCATTCCTTCCCCCCGTCGTCCTCATCGGCCAACACGCTCGAATTTCATGGCGCGCCCTAGAACTACTATATCTCATGATCCGCTGGACTGTTTGGTCTGAAATTTGGATCACCTCAGCTCCTCAGYGTAGACCACCGGTGGTCCAATTTTCAGCTCAGGGCGCGCGCCCAATCGCGCGCAATCGTCGAGCGTGCGCGCACTATTTTCCTTGCTGCGTGCAGTTATCCGGCGCACGCGACTCCTCTCCGTGGTGGTGACCTTGATTGATGTTTGATGCTGCCGGGGCGCAGCACTCCTGGTAGCGCTGCGCCCCCATCAGCTCCTTTTTTGCACGATTCTGACTGCTCCACTGGTAGATGATCTGCCTTCCCCCTCTTCTTAGTGGCAATTATAATGTTGGGAATCGATGCTCTTAGTGTGTGAGGGTGGAGTGTATTTCGTAGCTCGGGCTCTGTGCGGGTGGCCGAGTTGGTAAGCCAGATCCAAGCCTGTTCTTATTTGGATTTCAGTATGACTTCCCTATGAGCTAGAAAGTTGGAAGTGGGCTTACTAACTTCCTACATTTCTTACATTTCTTACATTTCCTATTTGACCGGATTTATAGGCCAGATCCCTGCCCCCCTCTATCTCTGGTTATAGTGTGCACTTTAGCACACACCTCTTGCTTGTAGGAAAGGGAAGAGACCAGGGTGGCAAACTTAGCTCGGAGCTTTACCTGGTTATCTCTGCGCTTGAATTTGTGTACTTGGTTGATTTCGGCCCGGTCGTAGACTTGATTGGTAACCCAGTGCCTGCCGTGGAAACTCTGGGGAATTCGATGGGTGGAGTTAGTTAGGCAGGATTTACTTCATAGATTAGCAGTTGTTCTTGACCAACGGGCTGTATTGGCCCGTAAGCGAAATTGGGTAACAAAAAAGGAGAGAGATTGCTTGGTATTGGTATTAGTCTTTGGTTCCGGTTCTGCTGGACTTATAAGCCAAACTGGCTAGTGCTGCCAAGATAACTCCGGGTTGAATTGTCAGGTCCCTGGCCTGGGTTGGCTTCTTTTTTTTTTTGTGGGGAAAAAGTAGAGAATCCATTATCGAAGCACAAACTTTGAGGCCGGGAATCCTCACAAACAACCCGGTTGGACCTTGGACAACGGGATCTAGTCCCGGTACCTCCGCCAGTGTTGGGAAAAGTGGCAGTTTTCCCAAACTCCTAAAGATTCGGAGGACAGCCATTGAGAAATCTGATCGGCGGTCGTCACTTCGTTTCAGCCTCCGAAAAAGTCAGAGGACCAACCGAGGCCCGCTATTTTCCCACGCGGCAAAGGTACTAGTGCTTTGTTTGATAAAAATAAAAAAAAGAAAATTCATGTGTCTAGCGTAGTGCAGCGAGGCCCCGCGAGAGCCTCTGTATGGACGCCTATGGACGCCCGGGACGACCAGGTAGAAAGAGCGCACCTGGGCTTCATAGCCGTCCAGGTGCAAGCCCTGGTCTCTGTGGTTTCCGGCGTTCCATACAATTGCATTCGCAAAGACGACGAGCCTTTGGAGCATCCTCAACGCTAGGACCTTATGTGCGCATCTGACCGTAATCTCGCCGTGGATGCGTGTGACCACTATTGCGCTTATGTGCGCATCTAACCGTAATCGCGATACGCTGTGGATGCATTGTGACCACTATTGCGTACAGGTTAGCCGAAAAGGTTTTAGTGTAGGTTCGCCGTTTGGTCCGCGGCCTGAAGAGGTGGAGGGAGATGGAGACGGCGGGATGAAGATAGAAAAGAGAAAGCGAAAGCGACATGAAGGTGTCGAGAGAGGAAGGTGGTCAGACGACCTGTATGCCAGTGGAGGCATGTCAATGGTTTTCGAACGTGGAACGAAAAGATTGACTCGTGGACAAATCACTGCAAGCACGTCGACAAGTCCGCACAAGACACGTCCACAAGTCCCCACAAGACACGTCGGCAATTCCGCACAAGACACGTCGACAAGTCCCCATTAGACACGTCGACAAGTCCCTACAGACGTGGACAAATCTCTGCAAGACACGTGGACAGTCGAAATGATCATGGTGATACTCAGCAGCAACCAAATATAGCTAGTGCCATTTCCAGCATAATCATTATCACTACCATCTCCTTTGTAATCATTATCACTGCTTCTCTCTCTCTCTCTCTCTCTCTCTCTCTCTCTCTCTCTCTCTCTCTCTCTCTTGCTCTCTCTTGCTCTCTCCGCAGATGATGATGGATCGACCATAACTTCGTTCTTTAAAGCCATACACGGGGAGACAGGTTTGCGGATACTCTCTCTCTCTCTCTCTCTCTCTCTCTCTGTGGATGATGATGTATCGACCAGAGCTTCGTTCCTTAGAGCCATAGACGGGTAGGCAGGTGTGCGGATACTCTCTCTCTCTCTCTCTGTGTAGATGATGATGGATCGACCATAGCTTGTTCTTCAGAGCCATAGCCGGTGAGGCAGGTCTGCGCATACTATCAGCTTCATTCAAGTTGGCGTTGTTGATCGCGGGATTTGCTCACTGTGAGCCAGCTGAAAGCTGAAAAGAAGAAGCCCAATCAAGGGGGAAAAAAGGGAGGAACGGGTATAGGGTGTACGCAGCAGGGAAAAAAAATAAAATAGGGGAAGAAGAGAAGGAAAAATATAGAAACGCTGAGCGAGTGTAATAGGGAATAGGGAAGAGAAAGAAGTTGGGAACGACCGTACCGTACGGCGCGGGTAATGGCTGTCGTTGCTGAAGAATACTACGGGCATGATGAGGCCGGGATAAGGACGGCAGCACTATGTACGGAATCGGCGGTTGATGCTGGAGCCGTGCCGAACGCCAGTCGCAGGATTAAGCTCATCAGGTTCGATGATGAGATCTGTCTTATACCCTATCAGTCGCACTCAACTCGTCTCATCAGATACCTTTTTTGTTGTTTTTTCTTTTTTGTTGTTTTTTTCGTATGTTTTTTTTTCTTCCAGTCCGCTCTCTTCTTTTTTTTATTTGGGGTTTTCCTCATCTCTCTCTCTCTCTCTCTCTCTCTCTCTCTCTCTCTCTCTCTCTCTCTCTCTCTCTCTCTCT